AGGTCGAGGCTGCAGTGGCCGGGAGCGACCACTGCACTCCAGTCTGGGCGACAGAGTGAGGCTCCAACTCGAAAATAAATAAATAAATAAATATGAAAGTGCCTTGCACCACTGAGGTAGGATCCTGGGAGCTGTGCTTAGTTCTGGACCCTTGTAATGTTTCCCTGTGCTTTCTTTTTCCTTCTGTATGGTTTACTAATACCTCGTGTGAGTACATCCTGTGTAGCCTCAAGGATCCCAGTTACATGACCCTGTGTGATTGCTCCATATACCACTTCATTTGTGGCTCTTATCCTCCGAAATGACCAGCTAGAACATTTTTTCCACCAATAGTGTTTTTTTCAGCGCATACATGACAGAAAAATGTCTTTCTGTCGTGTAACAAAGTCATCATTCTTATGTTATGTGATGAGTTGTCATTACTTTGTTATAGAATAAACCTTTCACATTACAAAATAAATCTTATAAATTTACTTTCAGCATCACAATACATATAGGAAATTCAGCACTAAGGACTTAGCAGAATTCTCTAGTAGAAAAATTATGACTAAATGTGATTGTGTTCTAACATCCCATCAAAATCAGGAATAAAATTCATACAGTTGCAAAGTGGAGTGGGATATATGATAAATACTGCACTGCACAAGTGAGAGGAAAGGGACACCCCGTGCTGCCTGTACCATATCCTGCTTTCGGCATAATGAAACTCTAAGAAGGTTTTCTTCAGGTAGTACAGATCCACACCAGAAGAGTATTCGTCTAAGATTTTATAGATAACTGTTGCTCCTGTGTAATGTGGCAGGCATCAGATTCCTTATAGTTTTTGTGTAATGGGAAGTAGTACCAACAGTGTACCATCATATATATATTTATGGGGGAAAAAACACTGTGCCCATTTCATCACTTTATTCCTCTTTATTCCATGCAGTTTTAGGTAGATGTGTGTATTAAAATCCAACACCACCACCCCAAAAACAGACCTTTAAGAATAACAAAAAAATCTGAGCAGGTTAATCTCTTTTCCTGGGAATACTGCAGATATTTCTTGTTACTTGTATCTAAGTTTTGACTCTGATTTTTACAGGGAAAACAAGGCAAACATATTTTATATGGCTGCAGTGAACTTTTTAATGCTACACAGTTCATAAATCAGGTAAAGTATACCTTTTTCATTTGGTTCTGTCAATATACCCCAAGTTGCTATTGATATTTTCCAAAAGAACCATTTATTCATCTGAACCAGCTAAAACCCCACAATCCATACAGCTCTAACAACACAAGGTTTTATAGACTATAAAAGAAAACTCATAATTTCCATTATCCCAACTGTATGAAATGGTAAATTCAGAAAACGTAAAATCATAGTAGTGTACCCAATTAGCCAAAATTCATTTCAGCATTTTCTTATGTACTATGTACATTTCTGACTTTGCCAGGCATATCATATACTGGGCCTAAGAACGTAAGTAATTCATGGGGAATAGGATGTGCTCAGTTGATACACAGATTATATTCACCTTCAAAGTTAATGACAGAGTAACTGAGGTGTACAAGTTGCCTATACAGTCCTTTTAGCACTGTTCCCATTAATGTTCTCAGTAATTATGTTGTTGATCTTAGCTTTCTTAAGTTTTAACTAACTGTAGCCTGACCAATGTGTCACTCACCTTTGCCTTGGATGCCGTAAAAATGAGAACTGCACACTGTACTCATTTGTAGTAGCTGTTCCTAGCATGGATTTTCCAGCACAACTTCCTTACCCTTACATGATTTGTGTATTTTCAACCATTTAGTGACCCAGTAGTATTATGAGAATTTCAAACATATAAAAAAGTTGAAGAGGATTTATAGTGAACACCTTACTCCTTTATTCATGTTTTACTGAACTTGCTTTTATGATTATTATAAGATATCTGTTCATCTTTCAATCTATTAATTGCTACAACTTGTTATTTTATTAATTTCAAAGTAAATTGTAGCTTTCAGTATACTTCCCTCCCTTCTTAAAACTTCAATGCCAGTATCATTACCTAGAGTTCATTATTTGTTTAGTTCCCCTACCCTCTTTGGAGGCAAAATTTACAACAATGAAACACACGCATCTTAAAAGTACATTCTTCAGTTTTACCGGATGTATTTACCTAAGTAGCCCAAACCCCTATCAAGATTTAGAACACTACCATCACCCAGAAAGTTTTCTCATTTCCGTTCTTAATCATTCTCCGCCCAAACACTGTCTTAATATTTGTCCACCTTGGGTTAGTTTTGCCTATTGTAGGCCGTCATATAAATGGAATCTTCTTTCTTGTTAGGTTTACTAGGGGAATCTTAATTTTGTTGTTAATCTTTTTAATGAACTAGATATTTTTCTTACGTTATTTTTCTCAGTTGTTTCCTGTTTGATTGGTTTCTGCTCTTAATTATTTCCTTCATTCTGATAATTTTGGGTTTACTTTGCTCTTCTTTTCCTAGCTTATGCTGGAAAATCATTTAAGTTATTCACTTTAGTTCTTCTTTTCTAAAAATAAGGATTTAAATCCATAAAATTAAAATTTCTGCCAAACAGTACTTTAGCTACATTCAACAAATTTTGATATGTCATATTTTGTTATGTTCAGTTTGAAATATTTTGTAATTTACTTCGTGATTTATTCTTTAGCCCATGTGTTATTTATATGTCTGTTATTTTCAGCTATTCGGGGGTTTTCTAGATATCTTATTCTTACTGATTTCCAATTTAGTTCCCTGTAGTCATTGAACATACTCCATATAGTTTCACTGTTTTAAAATGTATTGAAATTCCTTTTATGGCCCAATGTCTGGTCTGTCTTGCTGAATGTTCCATGTGTACTTCAAAAAGAATGTGCTTCTGCTGAAGTTGAGTATAGGTTTCTATAAATATCAATTTGGTCAAGGTAATTGATAGTACTGCTCAAATCCTGTGTGTTTATTATTGGGTTTGTTTGTTTGGTCTAGTTCTATCATCTGTGGAGTGACATTAAAATTTCCAACTATGATTGTAGAATTATCTCTTTCTTCCTTTAGCTTTGTCAGTTTCTCCTTTTTGGATTTTGTAGCTCTTATATTTATGATTGTTGAATCTTCCTTGTGGATACTTTTGTCATTACACAGCATTCCTCTACATATCTGATAATGCTCTTTTTCTTGAAATCTACTTTATCTAATATTTTAGCCACTCTAGCCTCTTATGCTTACTGCTAGTGTGTTATAACTTTCAATCTGTTTACTTTCAACTTATGTGTTAAAGTATTTATCTTGTAGACAGACTGCAGTTAGGCCTTTTTTGTTAACCATTTTCATACTCTGTTTTTTGTTGTTGTTGTTTTGAGTTGGAGTCTCACTCGGTCGCCCAGACTGGAGTGCAGTGGCCACTCCCGGCCACCGCAGCCTCGCCTGCTGGGCTCCAGCGATCCTTAATTGAAGTCTTTGGTCTGTTAGCATCTCATGTAATTACTGATATAATAAAGTTTATGCCTGTTTTACTGTTTGCTTTCTTTTAGAATCCTGTCTAGCATTTCTGCATTCCTCCTTTCCTGGTTGGCTTCCTTTGTATTATTTGAAAACTTTTTATAATTCAATCTGAATTCATCCAATAGATCTTTTTAGTTAATTTCTGCATTATTAATTCAGCACTTGCTCTAGAGATCACAGTATGTACATCGTTAACTATTTTTTGTTTATTTGAGTTTAGGGCTCACTCTGTTGCCCAGGATGGAGTGCAGTGGCACAATCACCGCTCACCACAGCCTCAAACTTCTGGGTTCAGATGCTCCTCCTGCCTGAGACTACAGGGCATACACAACCACACCCCCACCTTTTTTTTTTTTTTAGAGATGAGGGTCTTGCTATGCTGCCCAGGTTGGTCTCTGACTCTTGGGCTCAAGCAATTCACCTGCCTTGGCCTCCCAAAGTGCTGGGTTTACAGGCATGAGCCACTGTGCTTAGCCATTGTTAACTATTTGTGGACTAGAGCTAATACTGTACCACTTGCATTAGATGTAGAAACCTTGCAACCGTGTAGACCCATTCTCCCAGCATTTATGCTATGATTATTACATATATTACACCTAGATGCATCAATAACTTCACAAGACAGTGGCAGTTTTATCATTTGTGCCTCAGCTATGTGTATATTATAAAGAAACAAATCTGTATTTACATAAATGCTTATGATTTCCATTGTTCTTCATTTCTACTTCTGTAGATTCTAGTTTCTATCTGTTAACTAAAACACTTTTAGCATTTCTTTTTTTTTTCTTTTTTTTGAGTTGGAGTCTCACTGTCACCCAGACTGGAGTGCAGTGGCATGCTCCTGGCCACCACAGCCTCGACCTACTGGGCTCCGGCGATCGTTCCATCTCAGCCTTCCAAGTAGCCAGAACTTGAGGCACGTGCTACCACACCTGACTATTTTTTATTTTACTGTAGAGACGAGGTCTCGTCAAGTTGCCCAGGTGGATCTGGAACCCACAGGCTCAGGCAGTCCACTTGCCTCGGCCTCCCAAAGTGCTGGGATTACAGGCTGAGCCACCAAGCCCAGCCTTTAGCCTTTCTTATAGCTTAGTTTGCTAACAGTAAGTTATCTTAATTTTCTTATGTATGAAAATGTCTATTTCATCTTTATTCTTATGTTATTTTTGCTTTTTAGAAATCTGGATTGACAGTTTTTAAATACAGGCATGCCTCATTTACTTGAGTTTTGCAGATATTGCATTTTTTACAGATTAAAGGTTTGTGGCAACCCCCATGTCAAGCAAATCTATTGGTGCCATTTTCCCAACAGCTTGTGCTCACTTCATGTCTCTGTGTAACATTTTGTTAATTCTCACACTATTTCAAACTTGTTCATTATTATATTACTGTTGTTGTTGTTGTTATTATGTCTGTCATGGTGACCTATAGTCAGTGATCTTTGATGTTACTGTTGTAATTGTTTTGGGACATCACAAACCATACCCATAGAAGATGGCAAACTTAATAAATGTGTGTGACTGCTCCACCAACTAGCCATTTCCCCATCTCTCTCTTTCTCTTCTTGGGCCTTCCTATTCCTTGAGACAAAACAATATTGAAACTAGGCCAGTTAATAGCCTTACATTGGCTTCTAAGTGTTTAAGTAAAAGGAAAAGTCACATGTCTTTTACTTTAAATCAATAACTAGCAGTGATTAAGTTTAATGAGGAAGGTATGTAAGAAGCCAAGACAGGCGGAAAGGTAGGCAAAGCAAGAATTCTTGAAGGAAATTAAAAGTACTACTCTACAGATCACATGAGTGATAAGAAAGCAAAACAACCTTATTGCCAATATGGAGAAAGTTTTAGTGGATGGATAGAAGATCAAACTAGCCACAACATTCCCTTAAGCCAAGCTGTAATCTAGAGCAATGCCCTAACTCTGTTCAGTTCTGTGAAGGCAAAGAGAGGTGAGGAAGCTGCAGAAGAAAAGTTGGAAGTTAGCAGAGGTGTTCATGAAGTTTGAAGAAGGAAGCCTTATCCATAATATAAAAGTGCAAGGTGAAGCATCAAGAGCTGATGTGGAAGCTGCATCAAGTTATCCAAAGCTCTAGCTAAAATCACTGATGAAGATGGCTACACTAAATAACAGGCTTTTAATGTAGACAGAACAGCCCTCCATTGGAAGAATATCATCTAGGACAAGAATGTCATCTAGGACAGTCATAGCCGGAGAGGAGAAGTTGATGTCTGGCTTCAAAGCTTCAAAGGACAGACTGACCCTCATAGGGGCTAATGCAGCTAATGACTTTGAGTTGAAGCCAGGGCTCATTTATTGTTCTGAAAATCCTAGGGCCCTTAAGAATTATGCTAAATCTCCTCAGCCTGAGCCCTAGAAATGGAGTAAGAACATCTGGATGACAGCATATCTGTTTACTGCATGGTTTACTTAATATTTTAAGCCTACCGTTGGGACCTACTCCTCAGGAAAAAAGATTCCTTTCAAAATATTACTGCTCAGCCGGGCTCAGTGGCTCAGCCTGTAATCCCGCACCTTTGGGAGGCTGAGGTGAGTGGATTGCCTGAGCCTGCG